TGGGATGGACATTCCCAGAGCTGGGATGGACATTCCCAGAGCTGGGATAGACATTCCAATAGCTGGGATAGACATTCCCACAGCTGGGATGGACATTCCCATAGCTGGGATGGACATTCCCAGAGCTGGACAGACATTCCCAGAGCTGGATAGACATTCCCAGAGCTGGGATAGACATTCCCAGAGCTGGGATAGACATTCCCATCCTTGGACAGATATTCCCAGAGCTGGGATGGACATTCCCAGAGCTGGGATGGGTGATGGTGCCTCACAGGATTATCCCCAGGGGAACATTCCCAGGCTGTGGTTTCTCCCACTCCACTTCCTGTAGCCCTTTCGACCTGGTAATTAAAGGGCTGTTTTGCCTTTAATTCCCTTTTGATTTCATTTCTAAGGATAATTGTCCCTGTCTGTGACCCTCAGGCACTACCACAGCATGGAGGTTTTCACCCACTACGACCTCCTGAACCTCAATGGCACCAAGGTGGCCGAGGGACACAAAGCCAGTTTCTGCCTGGAGGACACAGAATGTGAAGCAGGTGTGTGCCAGAGCCCTGGGAGCTGGGAATTTATCCCTGTCCCTGGGGCTTCCAAGGGCTAAACGTGGCCTGGCAGGAGCCAGAAACCAACCCTGAGGTGATGGAGGGATGGATGGAAGGATGAATGGATGGATGGATGGATGGTCGGTCTCAATTCCCTCTGTCCCTACTCTGAGCTGCCCCAAAACCCAAACTGTGCTTTTTCTGACCCCTGTCAAGTGAGGAATTCCAAAATGTGCCTCCAGGTGATGAGGCTGGAAGGTGGCAGCTCCCTCTGTGCAGTTAAATCTCATCCCAAACACTGCCCGGGAACAACTGGGAATTCCCCAGGGAAACACCCGCCCTGCCTTGCCATGGATGTAACACTTTGTTCCTTGAACTTTTTCTGGCTCAGATGTGCAAAAGCAGTACGAGTGTGCCAATTTTGGGGAGCAGGGGATCACCGTGGGCTGCTGGGACGTGTATCGGCACGACATCGACTGCCAGTGGATCGACATCACCGACGTCCCACCCGGAGATTACCTTTTCCAGGTGAGGAAAAGAGGGTTGGAGGCACTCCTGTGGCTTTTATCTCACCCATCCTGACAAGAGTTTACCTAAAGCTGTTTATTTGTACACCTCCTACTTTTGATTATGAAGAGATTATATTCCCGGGGATGCCCAAAAGGGAGAGGATTCCCTACAAAACACACCCCCAAGTGACAAATCAGGGCCAACAACCATGTCTTACAGCCTTCAGAATTCCATGTCCAGCTCCCACTGGGTTGTCCCAACCAGCCCAGGAGCAGCTGATGTTGTTGCCACGCAGGGCTGGCACATTCCAGATGCACAACATTCCACTGCTGTCCTGGTTTGGAGCTGTTTGTGAGCAACACTCCCTGAATTTGGGGATCAAACCAATTGCTGTTTGTGGGGTGTTTGCAGGAGCTCAGGCTGTGTCTCCGGTCTGGGCACTCTGGGGAGGGGAGTGGGGGGAATTCTTTGGCTCTGAAACCAGCCCCTTGCTCCAGAGGGGAGGGAAGGGAGAGGAATTATTTTTGTCTGCGCTGTGTGAAATGGAAAAAAGGGGTTGGAGGGGAGATTTTGGGGGTCTTGGTTGGTCAGAGGGATGGAGCAGCTCTGCCAGGAGGGAAGGCTGGGAGAACTGGGATTGTTCAGCCTGGAGTGACTCAATTGTGGCCTTCCAGGACCCGAAGGAGCCAACAAGAAACATGGAGAGAGACTATTTCCAAGGGATGGAGTGACAGGACAAGTGGGAATGGCTTCTGCTGCCAGATGGTTAGATGGAATATGGGGAAGGAATTCTTCCCTGGGAGGGTGGGGAGGGGCTGGGATGGAATTCCCAGAGAAGCTGTAGCTGCCCCATCCCTGCAAGTGTCCAAGGCCAGGGCTAGTGGAAGGTGTCCCTGCCCATTGCAGGGGGTGGAACTGGATGAGCTTTAACATCCCTTCCATTCCAAACCATCCTGGATTCCGAGCCTGACCTGCTTTAACCGAGCAGTTTCCATTTCCATGCCAAGCGAATGATTTTTGGTTTTCCCATTGTAAAAAAACTCAGTTTGTTACAAACCAGCTGACTCTGCCTCCCCCCCCAGCCCACCCTTTTTTAAAATAACCTCCCCCTGTGCTTCTCCCCTCCCTCCCCAGGTTGTCATCAACCCCAACTACGAAGTGGCTGAGTCAGATTATTCCAACAACGTGATGAAGTGCCGGAGCCGCTACGACGGGCAGCGCATCTGGATGTACAGCTGCCACATAGGTGAGAGCCCTGCTGGCCTTGGGCCAGGCTTAAACCCCTCAGCTCGGGCCTAACAGGGATAAAGATGCTCCAGCTGGACGAGGAAATGCATGGTTTTGCCTCCCCAGGAAAGCTCTGGTGTCTGTGTGGGTCTGGCTTGGCAAACACCTTCTCCCCAGACTCAAACTCTTTGGTACTGAATCTCTTCAGACCCCAAAGCTTCTCCCCTCTTGAAAAAAAGAAATAAGAATAGGTGGAGCTCAATCCAGGCATTAAACTGCTCTGCTGTCGCTGGGGTATCAGGGGAAACTCTGTGTTCTCTCAGAATAATATAAAACATTATCCTTTGGAATTTTTATCTCAGAAATATCAAAGGCAAACTGGTTTAAACGTGTCACTTATCAAGACCATTTTAAAATGGAAATAGTCCATTATCAGGACCATTTTAAAATGGAAACAGTCAATTATCAAGACCATTTTAAAATGGAAGTAAGTTGGGGGCTTTCTAAGATAAGAGTGTTTTTAACACCTGCTGTTCCACTTATGATAAAATTCAATTAAAATTCAAATTAATTAGCCCAGGAGAATCTCCGAGCCCCTCCCTGTTCTCTGCCTGCTCTTTGTGCCCTGAGCTGCCTCTGCCCCTCCCTGCTCACCCTGTGCCCCCTTTGTGACCCCTCTGTGCCCCCCCCAGGTGGTTCCTTCAGCGAGGAAACGGAGCAGAAATTCGACCACTTCAGCGGACTCACAAATAACAGAGTGGCCACCCGGTAATGGGACCCCCCTCCCCACTATTTAAAGAAGGCAGGACTCCTGCCTTGCTCCTTCCCAAACCACTGCACCACCAGGAAATCAAGGAAAGGATCCAGCTCCGAATCTCCAGGTGAATTCTCTCCCGCAGACGCCTTCGCTCCCCGCCCCTCCTGCGGCCCCGGAGCCCCAAACCCTCCTTGGCTCCGTGTCCTCCCCCTTCCAACCTCCTCCAAAGGTTCCTCCCTCCACTCTGTGTCCCCTCACAGCCGCCTTGCCTTCGTTTGGGTGCCAACAACCCCAAAAAGTGGCTTCACCCTTCGCTCTCGAGGCCTTCATTTGGCATCTTTTAAGCTCTTTTCCACGCACCGAACGTTTGTGCTGCTGCTTCTTGCACAGCTTCTCCTCAGACTCCAGCTCAGCAAAGAAATACAAGGAAAAGAAAGTGAAAAAAACCCAACACACACACACACACAAAAAAAAAAGAGGAAAAAGAAAAGGAGCAGCTTTTTTTTTTTTCCGAGCAGAACAGTGTAAAGCATAATTTAATTCTGCAGCGAAACTCTCGCGTCCAACAGTCCAACCCAGCGACCTCTGGAAGAGGAGCAGAACAGATTCCAAGATTCCAACAGACCACTGGAGCTCCCTGGAGCTCCTCCACCTGCCTCGGACACCCAGAACTTTGCAGATTCCCAGCAGTGAGGCCGCTGGAAACTGGGAATTCCCATCCCAACATCCACCCCATAAACTCCACCCCCGCCCAGCTCTCGCCTCCCAGGCTGGACCATTCCCTGTCTTCTCTTCCAAGGATGAAGTAGTTTTTTTAAGGCATTGTCTCCTGGCTGTTCCTTACAGAGGGAATTCCTGGCTCTCATCCTTAGGGATCTGCACCGGCCCCACTGGAAATTCATGGTGCTACCCCCGTGCTCCTCTGTTTGTTTGAGGACACCCCTCTCTACACATCTCCAGGCACAGCTACTTGAATAAAAACCTTCCGACCCAGAAAAAAAAAAAAATGGTTTAAATGCCACTTGTGGATCTCTACTCCATGAAAGCTCACAATTCCTAGTGTTGGTTGGGTTGGGTTTTTTTTCCCTCTGTATGGAAGACTTCTACAAGCAGCTGAATTTTAGAGCTGACCAGGGGATTAATCCACGGGGGATCAGAGCTGGCTGCCAACTTGTGCTCTCCAAAACCTACCTCACAGGGGTGTTGTGAGGCTCAAAGGCTGCAGAATTATCCTGCTGAGGCCATTTATCACCTGGCAAAGGTTTGGTTTTTTTTAGCCTCCTCTTAAGCTGGAAAAACTCCATCTTTTCCCTCAAGAACCTGGAGCACGAGCAGAGCCAAAGGGTTTTCCAGCCCCTTAAAACCAGGCTCTGGGCCAACCAGAACAGGCAAGTTCTGCTTTTTCTTTTCCTAAGGAGCACGTGGCAACTTTTCCTTGCTTAACAGGGCAACTCCAGGCTGTGTAAATATGGAAAAAACACCCTGAACTCACTTGCATCCACTGCCTGGCAGTTTTATGGGATATCTCAACAATAACATTACAACAAGGTATAAACGTGGAACAGCTTTTTTGAACTCCTGTTCTTACCCCCAGCTGGAATTTTGGCCAACAAAACACAATTCCCTTACTCTTAATGAATTATTTTTTTGTTGTTTTGTGGGGTTTTTTTTCTCCAAACCCAGAGGAGGCTTTGCTGGAAAACTCCTCCTTTCACTCCTGCAGGTGAGCAACCGGGGGCTTGGAAACGAAAAGTGCTCCAAAAATCCCACGAACACTAAACTCCCCCTTCCATCCCAACTCCAGGAGGATGGTGCTGATCCCAAGGAGAAACCCCCCCCCGTGGTTCCTCCCTGCTCCACATGCAGTTGGACAGCACAGCCATGCTCATCTTTACAGCAGGGTTTTTTTGGGGGGGGGTGTGTGGATGAACAGGGAGGGGGAGCCGAGGTGCTTTTTTTTTTTATTATTCCTGCTGGTCCGAGGTTTCCAGCTGGAAAACTTCAGCTCCTGAGCCTTCCTGCTGCCTGTGCCTCCAGCCCAGGGCGTGGGACACGAGTCTCCTGGCCACGGCCGTGTCCGTCTGGGGCCGTTCCTTCCCCAGGTGAAGGAGTTCTGGGAAAAAACAGGGGGAAAAAACACTCAGCTGGGTGCTCAGTCCCTGTTTCCTCCACAGCAAATCCACCTCTTCCCTATCCCTTTGGAATGACACAACATCCCAGATGGAAACTCTCTGTGAAGTTATTTGGCCACAATAAAGCTCTACAAGGCTTTTTTTTATTATTATTATTATTATTGTTGTTGTGGGAGAAAATTGTTCTCCCCCCCCCTTTCTCTTCCAGGAATTGCTCGTCCCTGCACAGCAAATTGGATTTTTTGTTTCAAATAATCAAAGTGTGATTTTTGTTTCAATTAATTAAAGCCAGCAGCTTAAATCCTCGGAAACCAGGAAAAAAGGGAAATCCTCAGAAACCAGAAGAAAGGAAGAATTCTTTTTAAATCCTCAGAAACCAGGAAAAAAAGAATATTTTCTACATCCTCAGAAACCAGGAAAAAAAGAAGAATATTTTCTAAATCCTCAG